AAAGAGATACAAATGGCCAAGAGACATATGAAGAAATGCTCAATGTCACTAATCATCAGAGAGATGCAAATTAAAACAACTATAAATATCACCTCACACCTGTCAGAATGGCCGCCATCAACAAATCACCAAACAAGTGCTTGCGAGGATGTGGAGAAAAGGGGACTCTAGTACACTGCTGGTGGGAATGCAGACTGGTGCAGCCGCATGGAAAACAGTATGGTGTTTCCTCAAAAAATTAAAAATTGATCTGCCATTTGACCCAGTGATCCCACTTCTAGGAATATATCCTAAGAGGCCTGAAACACCAATCAGAAAGAATATATGTACCCCCATGTTCATAGCAGCACTATTTACAATTGCTAAGATGTGGAAACGGCCCAAGTGTCCATTAGTAGATGAGTGGACAAAAAAGCTGTGGTACATGTACACAGTGGAGTACTATGCAGCTGTAAGAAAGAAAGATCTCTTATCCTTTGAGATGACATGGAGGGACCTCGAGAGTATTATGCTAAGTGAAATAAGCCAAATACCACATGATCTCACTTATTTGTGGAATATAATGAACAAGGTGGGCTGATGAACAAAACAGACCCAGAGACATAGAAAGGAGTATGGTTCAGACTGACAAACCTCAGAGGAGGGGGGTGGGGGGGATGGGTGAGATGAACCAAAGAACTTATATGCATGTATGTAAAACCAATGGACATAGACAACAATGCTGGAGGGGTGGGAGGGCAGGATGGGGCGGAGGACGTCTAGGGAGGAAAAAGGAGAAACATCTGTAACAAAAATAAATTAATAAAAATTGAAAGAGAAAAGGTGCAAATAATTAAATTCAGAAATAAAAGTAGGGATATTACTATGAACCTTACAAAAAAAAATGAGAATACTATGAACACTGTATGATATCAAATTAGATAATCTAGATGAAATGGAAAAAATTTCATAAACAAATTATCTAAATTGACTAAAAAAAGAAACAGAAAATCTCAACAGACCTATAACAAGTAAAGATATTGAATTGCTAACCAAAAACCTTCCAACAAAGAAAAGTCTAGGATCAAACGGCTTCACTGGTGAATTCTACCAACATGTAAAAAATTAACAGCAAACCTTCATAAGCTCTTACCGAAAAAATAGGAGAGAGAAGCCTTCCTGACTCGCTCAGTGATGCCAGCATCACCCAACAGAAACGAACAGTACAGACCGATAAGTCCTGTGGGTATAAATGCAAATATTCTCAACAAGATAACAAACGACCTGAATACAGTAGCATGTTACAGGGATAATTAACCATGGCCAAATGGGATTAATACCAGGAAACTAAGGATGATGTGACCTTTATTTTTAATCAATCAATGTAATATATCATATTAACAGAAAAAGGGGGAGCATGATCTTCTCAATTTATGGGGGGAAAAGGGGCTCTTGACAAAATCCAACACCATTTCATCATTTAAAAAACTCAGAAAACTAGGAATAGATGGAAAAGTTCTCAACATGATATAGGGCATTTATGAAAAACAAGTAACATCACACTTAATAGTGAAGGACTGATAGCTTTTCCTTAAGATCAAGAAAAAAACAGGATGCCCATTATACTAGAAGTTCTACTCAGAGCAATGTACAAAAAAGAGAGATAAAATGCATCAAAACTGGATAGGAAGGGTAAAATAATCTCTATTCATAGATGACATGATCTATACTAGAAAGTCTAAAAAATCCACAAGAAGATACTAGAGCTAATAAAAGACTCAGCAAAGTTGTAAGGTACAAGAAAAACACACAAAACTTAGATGTGATTCTATATGCTAGCAATGAACAATCCAAAAAGAAATTAAGAAAACAATTCCATTTATAATCACATCCAAAAGAATAAAATCCCTAGCAACAAATTTAACCAAGGGGGTAAAGGACATGTACACTAATAACTATAAAACATTGCTGAAGCCCTGGCTGGTGTAGTTCAGTGATTAGAGTGTTGGCCCATGTATCAAAGGGCTGCAGGTTCGATTCCCCATCAAGAGCACATACCTGGGTTGCAGGTTCAATCCCCAGCCCCGCTCAGGTCACATGCAGGAGGCAACCAATGAATATGTCTCTCGCACATCAATGTTTCTCTCTCCCCTCCTCCCTCCATCTCTCCCTTCCATTCTCTATAAAAATCAATGGAAAAAAATAAAATATAACATTGCTGAAGGAATTAAAGAAGACCAAAATAAATGGAAAGACATCCCATGTTCATGGATGAGAAGACTTAATATTGTTAAGATTGCAGTACTACCCAAAGAAATCTACAGACTCAATGCAATCCTTATCAAAATTCTAAAAGCCCCTTTTCCAGAAATGAAAAACTGATCCTCAAACTCATATGAAATTGATAGGGACCTAGGATAGCCATAATAAGCTTGAAAAAGAACAACAAAGTTGGAAGAGTGTCCTCATATCAAAACTTACTACAAAACAACAGTAATGGAAACAAGGCATAAGGGTAGACTTACAGTCTAATGGAATAGAATTGAGATACCAGAAATAAACCTATACATTTATGGTCAACTGATTTTTGACAAGAGTTTCAAGACCATTTATTGGGGTAAAAATAATCTTTTCAACAAAAGATACTAAGAAAACTAGATTTCCATGTGCAAAAGAATGTAGTTTGGACCCTCTACCTCACCCCATATACAAAAATGAACCCAAAATGGATCAACAACCAGAATGTAAGAGCTAAAACCAAACAAGTCTTAGAAGAAAACATAAGGGACATGCTTCGTGATCATGCATTTGACAATGGATCCTTAGATGTGACACCAAAGGCAGGAACAACTTAAGAGAAATATAAATAAATTGGACTTCATCAAAATTTAAAACTTTTATGAATCAAAGGAGATGATTAAGAAAGTGAAAAGACAATATAGAGAATGAGAAAAAATATTTGCAAATCATAGGTATAATAAGAGTTTAATATCCAGAATATATAAAACTCCTACAACTCAACAACAAAAAGACAAACAACTACACTAAAAATGGGCAAAGGGATTTTCTTTAATGAAGATATACAAATGGCCAACAAGTACATAAAGATGCTCAACATCATTAGTCATTAGGGAAATGAAAATCAAAACCACAATGAGATACCATTTCACAACTATTAAAATAGCTTTTTTTTTTTTTAAAGGAAACTAAGAAGTGTTGGTGAGAATACGGAGAAACTGAAACACTTGAACATTTCCAGTGGGAATATAAAATGATGCAGTCACTGTGGAAACATTTTGGCAATTCTTCAAAAAGTTAAAAATAGGATTACCATATGACCCAGAAATTTCTCTCCTAAGAAAACACACAAAAGAACTAAAAAGGAGGAACTCAAATCTTCTTTGCCACCTTATTTACAGTAGCCAAGAGGTGTAAACAATCCAAGCGCCCATCATCGGATGAATGGATAAACACAATGAGTATGTCCATACAATGGAGTATATTGAGTCATGAAAATACAAGAAGTTCTGATTCAAGCTACAACAGACATGAACCTTGAGGACATTATGCTAAAGCTACAGTCCAGGGGCACCCCACTGGCCATTCCCCAACTTGGCTCAGACTCACTCAGAGTGCCCAGGACCCCATCACTCGAGACCCCTTTCTTCTCCCAGTCCCTGGCCCCCGTGGCACCATGCAGCTTATGAGAGCTGTTCAACAGTCAGGACCGTTGCAAGCCCCTAGTTAAACCACTGCTAGCTTGAAATCAGCCACGGTGGGAGTATTTACACCACCGTCATCGACAATCCTGCCAATCTGGACTTTTCATCCAGAGCGCCAGTCCATGCTGCCAGCCCGGACTCCTCTCCCCGCCTGTGGGCACCAGGCTCCCGCCGACTCTTGAGGTACAGCCAAGCAGCCCTCTTCTCAGTCCCCCGGTCACGGACCACAGAGTTCTCAACAAAGAAGGCTGTAGAATGTCTTTGTTCTTTTTTTTTTCCCAATTACAGTTGACAGAATGTCTTTGTTCTTGACTTGAAAAACTACTTGCCTCCCAAAAGGAAACCTCGCAACCTCCTAGTCAACCCCTCTGGATGGTGGCTTCCCTTCGCTGTCATATTGTCCACTTTCCTTCCTGCAGGTGAATAAATGCTCACTTTCTCACTTCCATAGAAGCAGCTCCTTTCTCGGAGCTGGCCCGCCACTCCCCGGACACCCACGGTACGCTTCCACACGAAGGACACAGCACAGTTTCTAATCCAGCTTCATCCTGTCCACCACCCTCCCACAGAATCCAGATTTCTCGTGACTGTCCATGTCTGTCCGCTCTCCGGGAGCTGAGTTTATAGGTCAGGACACTGGCCCACCATATTCCAAGCTCTGGTGCAAGTTCTTAGCTGTGCCTCGGTTTCCCCATCTGTAAAGTGGAAATAACAACAGCTCCTACTTCACAAGGCTTTTGTGAGGGCTGCGGAGTTCATATTTATTAAGTTGCACGAGATCAGGTGCTGGCATAGCAAGAGCTATTATTTAAGTGTTTCCTAATACAATAAAAATAAACACAGCTCCCAAACCATTCAGTGCTATGGTTCAGGAGAGAATTAATCCCAAAGTAAATAGGACATGAAAATGAACAAGATATGATTCAACTGAGTGTTGAGAAATAGGAGAAATACAAGGAAGAAGCCCCAGAAGCTGCTGAGAGGGGCTGTCAGGAACAACTGGCCGCCTGTGTCCATGCCCAGGTCTGGCCCCAGCTACTGATGCCTCCTCTGCACCCCAGCTCCGTTGGCCCTAGGCTCCACCTCTCAGGGGTTTAATGAGCTAAGCTACCTGTCATAGGTCCATGACAAGCGTCCTCAGGGACCTTCTCCAACAACAACAAGGAAACAGGCTCTTCTGTGCCCTCGTGATGGGACAACACACACCCCTGAGCAGTATATAAGCCCTGGGCTGCTCTCACACCCTCACACACACACTCACACACTCTCCTCTCAGCTCACCTCCAGCCACTGCCCACCATGGCCGCGTCCACCCTGTCCGTCTGCTCCAGCGACCTGAGCTATGACAGCCGCACCTGCCTGCCCGGTTCCTCTGACTCTTGTACTGTCTCCTCCTGGGAGGTGGACGACTGTCCAGAGAGCTGCTGCCAGCCCTCCTGCTGTGCCCCCAGCTGCTGCCAGCCCTCCTGCTGTGCCCCCAGCTGCAGCCAGCCCACCTGCTGTGCCCCCAGCTGCTGCCAGCCCACCTGCTGTGCCCCCAGCTGCTGCACCCCAGCCTCCTGCCTGACCCTCATCTACACCCCAGTGAGCTGCATGTCCAGCCCCTGCCAATCAGCCTGCATCAGCTCCTGCACACCCTCGTGCTGCCAGTTTAGCTGCCAGCCCTCCTGCTGCACCTCTGCCCCCTGCCAGCAGCCCTGCTGTATGTCCATGTGCTGCAAGCCCATGTGCTGCACACCCGTCTGCTGCAAGCCCATCTGCTGCAAGCCCATGTGCTGTATGCCTGCCTGCTCTGGGCCTGCCCCCTGCCCTGCCCCCTCCTGCTGCCAGCCCACCCCCTGCTTCTCATCCTGCTGCAGACCCTCCTCCTGCTGCAGACCCTCCTCCTGCATGTCTGTCATCTGCCGCCCCGTGTGCAGGCCTGTGTGCAGGCCGGCCTGCTGCGTGCCCGTCTCCTCCTGCTGTGCCCGCCCCTCTTGCCAGTCCAGCTGCTGCCGCCCGGCCTCCTGTGTGTCCCTGGTCTGCCGCCCCGTGTGCTCCCGCCCAGCCTGCTGAGTCCCAGCCTCAGCCCAGACGTCCTGCTGCTGACCGGGCACGTCCCGCAGAGCACTATGGGGCACTGCAGGCTTCACGGTCGCCTTAGGGTGTCTCTCTTAGGAACTCCCCAGATGCATAGGCGGCCCCTCCTCCTCTCAGCCCAGGAGGACGTCCCACCAAACCCAGGATGACCCCGCCCATCCCCACTGCCACACTCCTCCTGGGGTCCCAGGGGTCAGGTAGGGGTCCGGGTCCTCAGTGGTCTCTGCTTGGAGAATCTAATAAACTCGCCTGCATTTAACCTTGACGACACTTGGTTCTCTCTTGGTCATTTCTCTTTGAATTGCCAGCCAGTCCCCACAGAGGCCAGGCCCGATGCCCTCGCTGCCCTGCCCGACCCCAGCTGCACTGGCCCCTCGGGGCCCCTGCCCGTGCTGGCTGGGCACCTGGCTCCCACCCCACGGGATCTGGGCCAGTCCCAGGAGTGCTGGCCTCGGTGTGGGCAACCCCCCCCCCGGGAGCCCACCGGTGATGAATCCTCAGGGACATGGCGGTGCCCAGTCCTGGACACAGAACCACACTGCCGTGGGCGTCTCCCTGAGAGGCCAGCTGAGGGGAGTCTCCCTGCAGAAGGGACCTGGCAGGACATGGGGTTCAGTGTCTCCCCAAGGAGAGAGGACGGGCAGGTGCAGCGGCCCCTGTGCCGGTGCCCAGAGGATTGGGGTCGGTCAGGCGCCAGCACTCGGCCGCCCAAGCCCTGTGGCCACCTCCCTCCTCTGGCCGCGAGACCTCTCCCTGGAGCACTCCGCCGGGATGGCACAGGGCCCGTCTCATCTCCATGATGACAAAGGAGACCCAGCTGTCCTTCCCCAGTCAGGGCTCCTGCACCCCTCCAGAGAGCTGTCTAACACTCAGGGGCCCGTCTCTCCCCTCCTCACCCTCCACCGCTCCCCTTCCCTCTACCTGCCCGACAGCTGCTGAGGTCGGTCTCACTCCGGCCCTGCCCAGTGGACCTGGCCCGCAGCGCTTGGCCCTCGAGGCTCCTGCTCCCTCGTCCTCTGACTTCCCTGCACCTGTCGCCCCCACTTCACTGTGGCGGGGACTTGCTCTCTCTGCAGATACGTCCCCAGGGCCTCTCCTGGACTCGCGCCACTCACACCTCCGGACGGGATCTTCCAAACTCACCTCTCCTGGCCCACTACCACCCCAGAGCGGGACCCCCTCCACCACCCTGCCTCCGAGCCTGGGCTCTCCCAGTCAGCCTTGGGGTCAGTCCTGCCCTCGGCCCTTCACTCTGCTTGCTAAACGACTCTGCAGCTAGGCAGGGCCCTGGTCCCAGCTCGCACCGCCCCCGCGGCTGCCCACAGCCAGGTGCGCCAGGTGCGCCAGGTGCGCCAGGTGTGACCTTCCCAGCAGAGGCTGGGATCCTGAGGGCTACCAACGGCACACACATTCTTCTCTAGAATGCACTTTGGGAACAAATTGTGCTTTTTTAAAAAAAAAAAATCCTCACCCGAGGATTATCTTCAGATAGGGTAGGAGGGATAAAGAGAGAGAAACATCAACGTGAGAGACACATCAATTGGTTGCCTCCTGCAGGACCCCGACCAGGGCCGGGGACCAAACCACAACCAAGGTACATGCCCTTGACTGGAATCAAACCTGAGACTCTTTGGTCTGTGGGCCGACGCTCCAACCACTGAGCACACTGGCCAGGGCAAAAAATGTGCTTTCTGTCCAGTAGAAGATGCCGATCTGGGAGAAAGATGTTGGAGACCCCGATAGGTTTGGGGGAAGCTGCCATCTCGAGTCCCACATCACAGCCACGGCCTGGACGGGCCGGCAGAGACAGCAGCCCTGTGGGCGTCGGCCACGCCTGGCTGGGCAGAGCCGCTTGTCTGGCCTTGTGGCCCGGCCCTCGCTGAGCTCCGAGTGTGAAGAGCTCGGGCAGAGGTACATCTGAGCAACAGAAGCCGAGAGAACAGAAGCCGGGCGCTCCCTTGACCCAAAGCCACCTGGTCAGCCACAGCCTGCGAGCTCACCTCGATAAGCACCTACCTGTGGCAGGTGTGTCCGGATGCCCTGGACAGGCCTCCCATTTCGTCAGAATGCCCTAGAAGTCCGGGCAATCGGGGCTTTGGATCTCACTAAGGGCCGGATCGTGTGAACTCGCCATAGGGCCAGAAGCCGTGACCCCTTCTGCATGTATTCCGGTCACACCGCGTGCTGCGCCGGCAGCAGGACCCTTCCAGCTAAGCGAATCGCAGTTCTTCTGGGCCGAGTGGGGATCCGAGTGGCCCTGCTGGGCATGATGCTGCCATGTGGCCAATAAAACCATGCTAAAACCGAAGACTTTGAGACGCACCTTGCAGGCGTCGGGCACTGAGTGTGTTTAAATCACACAATGGCCGGGGTGCACTGTGACCCCGTCTTGTGGAAGGGAAGACGCACAGTGACCTGCCAAGGTCGTACACACCAGATCAGGCAGTGAGCACGAGAGGGGAGAGCAGGAGACCATGTGGGGCGGGTAAAACACCGAGTGTTCGCAGAGTGCTGCAGCGCACCAATGACGTCCCCAAAGACAGCCTCATCCGGACCCCAAGCCTGTGGGTGCCACCTGGTGCAGGGGAAGGGACTCTGCAGACTGACTGCAGGCTGCTGATTAAATGAAGAGTCTCAAGAAGGGAGACGGTCCTGGGTCAGCCCGGTGGCCCTAAGCGGCCTCGCGAATGCCCTGCACAGGGAGACACAGACTCCACTTTCTCCTCACACAGACAGGGAGGCGGACACCCAGCCTCAGAGGCAGAGCTTGGAGTGTCAGGGTCAGAGCCAAGGACACCTGGGGCCACAGAAGCTGGAAGAGGCAGGAAGGACACCCTGGAGGCTCCGAGGGCCCTGCAACACTTGGGTCTCGGCTCAGGAAACTGCTCTCAGGCTGTGGCCTCCAGCACCTGAGCAGGTCAGTTTCGGTCATTTTAAACCATCAGGTGTGTGGCCAGTTGGTACGGCCACCCGGGCACACAGAACCACGTAGCGCTGTCGGCAGACCCTGCGATCCCAAGGGAAAGATGGACAGCGACGCGGACTTGACCACAGGCACCAATACACACAGGAGTTCAGTTCCTACAGCACCTCATCAATGTCATAACGGGAAATACTGTAACCTTGTACAATAAATACAGCTTTCATACTTTCTTTTTTTAAAATACGTTTTTATTGATTATTTAGAGAGAGCAAAGAAGGGAGAGAAGAGAGAGAAACATCGATGTGAGAGAGAAACATCGATCGGCCGCCCCCTGCATGCCCCCAGTGGGGATCAAGCCCCCAACCTGGGCATGTGCCCTGACCAGGAATCGAACTGGGACCCTCTGGCTCAATCCACTAAGCCACACCGTCCAGGCTAAGTGTTATGGTTTAAAATGTCATTGAGACAACATAGAATAATAATAATGATAATAATAATAAAGAACCCTCAGCCTTCTAAGGAGTCCAGTCCAGCAGGTGACGCTCTAACCTGCTCCGTGCGCGGGGACCGGTGTGCCCGCCTTCCTGGCCAGCGCCACGGGGCCCTGAGAGCCCAGAGCTTACAGAGGAAACACGCCTCCGCTTGGTGCTGGCAGCTCAGCTGGGCAAGGACCACCGCCCCTGCCCACAGCACAACCCCCCAGCCAGAGACGCAGTCTGGAGGAAGAACAGCACAAAGCCCCTCCCCCGGGCCCCTGCTACCTCTCAGGTCACAGCCTGAGGCAGGGACAGCTGGCCCCACCACAGGCAGAACTGGCCCAGTATGTCCAGAGCCCTCCCATCATCTCAGGGACTTGGTGACAACGCAAGGAAGGGGGCCAGCCCAGCTGATGTGGCTCACTGGATGGAGCGTCGTCCCATGGACTTAGAGGTCCGGGTTCGATTTCTGGTCAGGGAACATGCTCAGATTTCGGGCTCGATCCCCAGTGGGGGGCGTGCAGGAGGCAGCTGACCCAGGTCTCTCTCTCACATCAATGTTTCTATCTCTCTCTCCCTCCCTCTCTCTCTCTAAAAAAAATCAATAAAACATTTAAAAAAAAAAAAAAAAGGGGACCACATGCCCCAGAGACAGGCTCCCATGTGAGGAGCCATTCGTGGGACCCAGAATCCAAGTTACCCTCCCCCGCCACCAGGCCCCTGCAAGGAGCACGAGGCAGCCCACCCTCCATCCATGTGCCTCGGCTCAACCCCAACCTGTCTCTCAGGCCCACTCAGCAGACTTGGTCAGCACTGGCCACCCAGCCCCAACACACAGGCAGCACTTTTACGAGCTGGGCAGCATCTCCTGGGAAAATTAACCAGCCCTAATGAGGGCTCACCAGGAACCAACTCCAAACACCTACAAGGAAGGAAGGGCGTGTGAGCCTCCTGCTGGGGCAACACACAACACGGAGGAGGGGTATAAAGGCCGACAGCCTAGGGCACCTCACACACACTCACACTCACACACTCACACCTCCTCCAGCTCACCTCCAGCCCACTGCCCACCATGGCCGCGTCCACCCGGTCCGTCTGCTCCAGCAACCTGAGCTATGGCAGCCGGGCCTGCCAGCCAGGTTCCTCCGAGTCTTGTACTGACTCCTCCTGGCAGGTGGACGACTGTCCAGAGAGCTGCTGTGAGCCCTCCTGCTGTGCCCCCAGCTGCTGCCAGCCCACCTGCTGTGTCCCCACCTGCTGCCAGTCTATCTGCTGTGTCCCTACCTGCTGCCAATCCACCTGCTGTGTCCCCAACAGCTGTGCCCCAGCCCCCTGCCTGACCCTCATGTACACTCCAGTGAGCTGCATGTCCAGCCCCTGCCAGTCAGCCTGCAGCAGCTCCTGCACACCCTCGTGCTGCCAGCCCTCCTGCTGCACCTCCGCCCCCTGCCAGCAGCCCTGCTGTGTGCCCGTCTGCTGCAAGCCCGTGTGCTGTGTGCCCGTCTGCTCTGGGCCTGCCCCCTGCCCCTCATCCTGCTGCAGACCCTCCTCATGCATGTCCGTCATCTGCCGCCCCGTGTGCAGGCCGGCCTGCTGCGTGCCCGCCTCCTCCTGCTGTGCCCCCTCCTCCTGCCGGCCCAGCTGCTGCTGCCCGGCCTCCTGTGTGTCCCTGGTCTGCCGCCCCGTGTGCTCCCGCCCAGTCTGCTGAGTCCCAGCCTCAGCCCAGACGTCCTGCTGCTGACCGGGCACGTCCCCCCAGGACCAGCCCCCCCTCTCCCACAGCTGCCTTCAGGATTTAACCCAGCACGTGCACTGGTACATGTCTCAGCACGAACACGTGCTGACCTCGGACCCCAACAACCAGGCTGAGCCTGTCTGCAGCCTCCACATCAGGCCAGAGGAAGCTGGATGGCCCTGCCCTGCTGTTGGGAAGTCCCCAGGCTGCTTCCTGGCCTTTCTCCCAGAGCCTTACCGGGGCCCCTGCCCTGTCTGGACCCCCACTCCAGATGCCGTTTGCCCCCCTCTCCTCATGCATGTGTCTCGAGCTGAGAGAATAAACTTGCCGTCCGGCCCCTGCTGCCCTCTCGCTGGGCCTGGTTTGCTCCAGCCTTCCGGGCTGACAACCCGGCTTCTGCATCTTCAGACACCAGGCACATCGTGGGAGCTTTTCCAGCAATGCTGACTTCTGACACCCACTCCTGTGTCTGTACCTCTGGGCAGCTCTCGGGTGGCTGTGCCGCAGGTCTGGGAGTCACGTGGCCAACAGCCCCCGAGCCAGCAGGCCCTTGGCGAGAGCCCTGTATCCCAGGCCTGCTCTCCCCGCTCAGTCTGAGGCCACCAGGGGCAGCGCCTAAGCTGACTTCTGGGCCAGGACATTCCTAGGTCAGAGCTGACACAGAGGGTCCCTACAGACAGACAAATTCCTGGTCTGTCCCTCCATCTCCCCTTGAACCTCCATGTTTGATTCAAATGCCCCACCCCTGCCTGTCTGTGTCTGCGCAGGCCAATGACAACACCTGTTCCCCCACCCAAGGTCCAATTTGGGTGTGGCAGAGGCCAAGGGACCCTTGCCCAGTTCCAGCCTCAGTGTGGCAGAGGTCAGAGGGAAGAGGCCAGAGGGTAGGCGATTTCCACGGCCCATACTCTGGGACCCAGGCTTGCTGTCTTTGGAGGGTTTTCCCTCACTGCCAGTCTGGATGGGGCCCCCGCGTTTCCCAAACTTCCCAAGCCCAGCCCTCACTCCTGGACAGAGCCACTTCCTAACTGAGGTCCCCTGCCTCCACACCCCAACCAGCGCCACCTCCTCGCTCTTGTCCCTTCCCTACTGTTGACATGAAACCCTCTCCCACCCAGGAGGCCATGAAACCCAGCAAGGCACCCTAAAGGAGGCGGGCCAACGGTGAGTGCCCACACCCTCAGAGCAGGTTTAAGAGGTCGCCTGGCCCTCACATAATCTCCCCTGGAGACCCTGGTCCAGACCCCCAGGGCTGGGATGGCTTTTCCGAAGCCACCCTCCCAACATGAGGGTCCTCAGGGAACCTGTCAGTGGAACTAGACTGGGATGGTGTGAATTCACAGTCCTTCCTCCTACATTCTGGGGCTGCTTACCCTGGGGACCCTGCCCTGCCACCACCCCTCTCCTGAGGGATCCTGTCCCTCCCTCCTGGGTCCCTACTATGAAAGGAGGGGTGAGAAACAATTCCCACAGCTGTTACGGGGCCAGAAAATTCCCTGGACTTCTGTCCACTGTAGCTTCCCCTAAGCCTGTAGCCTCTGGACAACCTCACCTGCACCCCCCAGAGGCCAGTGAACTGGGGACCCCAACCTACTGTGGGCCAGGACCTCTCTGGGCAGCTAGTAAAATGCTTAGGCCCCGTCTTAGAAACAGGTATTTAAATGTAATATTCTAGATTTCCAGGGGAGGCAATTTTTTGAAAATATAGTTATTAAAATATTTTTAGCCCAGCCAGTATGGCTTAGTGGTTGAGCATGGACCCATGCACCAAGCGGTCGTGGGTTCGATTCCCGGTCAGGGCACATGCCCAGGTTGTGGGCCCAGTGCCCAGTGGGGAGCATGCGGGATGGCCAGTGGATGTTCTCTCTCATCATTGATGTTTCTCTCTAAAAATTAATACAGAAAATAAATATTTTTTAAACAAATACGTACTGAGGCGGCCTTTCCAGTAAGGTATTAACCAACAAGAGGAAAGGCGACCTAACACGGATGGGGCACTGTTGTTCCCGAAAATCTGTCGTGGGGCACAAGGATGCGGGTGACAGTCCCTGCCGCTGCGGCGTCTGGATTGAAGCCACGACGACAAAGATGCGTGGTTCCCACCCAAGTTCACAGCCCGGATTCCATTGCCCACCCACACCCGATGGGGCCTAGCGCGTCGGGAAAGCCGCGATGGCAAAAGGCGCCCTGGTTCAACCGGGGCCAGACGCGCCCCTGCCTGAGCGCTGTTCTGTCCGCGCGCCCAGACGCCAGCAGCGGCCTGTCACCCGCGCCGGTGACCCTTCCTTGGGGCTCCCTGAGCTCGGCCTCGACCCCCCAGTGCGCCACACGCAGACCTCCCAGGGAAGGTCGTGGCCCAGCGCACGGCTGCCCGAGCGCCCACCCAGCAGCTCTCCACCCGCGACGCCCGCTCACGCGCCGCGCCAGGTGGGGCTGTGGGCGGCGCCCGCGCTTCAGGAGGCCTCCCAACCAGCTCCACGCGCGAGCCCTGCGTCAGGGCCACGTGCAGGCCGCGGAAACAAGTCCACCGAACAAGTTTAATCAGCTGGGTGGATATGCTCCGAGTTTTTCTCAGCGGTGCGCGCGTGGGCACGACCCCACGTGCACACACCGACTTCCCCTCTGAGTGGCACGACCCCCCCCCCCAGGCGGACCCCGCCCAGCCTGCAGACCCCTCCCCTCCTGTCCCCTCCCGCCCCCTCCCCTCCCCTCCCAGGTGGCAGCCCCCGCCTCCCAGGTCGCCCCGCCCTACCCCTTCCGCTGCTCGGGCCCAGGGGGGCGGTGGAGGGGTCTCCCGGGCTGCACGCCGACCCTGGAGTCACCTTGGCAGCGAGGTTGGCACCCCCTCACCCCCACCCCCACAATGCAGGTAAGTGCGCCTGAATTCGCGGAGACGCTCGTCGGATTGGATTCGCCCGGGCCCGAGCTCCCCGCCAGGCAACGGCACCGGGCCCAGGTGGCCAAGCCCCGACCTGGGCTGGGACGAAAAGCGAAGCCTTAGCAGATGGGGTCCCCACCCCGATTCGCAGCGAGGGAGGGAGGGGCGTTAACGTGTGGTGCCCCCGCCCGGCTCTCTGAGCGGAGCTGGGCAGGGGGAGGGGGGATCCCCCTGGCCGTGGCACCAGCGTGGGCGCCGCTGCGGGGTGAAGGGGGATGGCGCAGGGCCGGAGCCCGGGTTCGGGGTGCTCCGGGGACGGGAGACGCGGGGTTGGAACGCGGAGAGTGACAGCCGAGCGCCTCGCCCCCTCTTCCCACTCCGCCCCCCAGACTCGGGATGGGAGGAGTAGTGGGCACCCCCCGCCCCAGCACGGACGGGCTAAGACCCCACCTGGGAGGACGGGGCGGGGGCGCCGAGGAGACGGGGAGCTGGGAGGAGGGGGGTCCAGCAGGAAGCCAGTCCAGACCTGGAAGCATGCGCCTCAACTGTGCAGAAAGACCGCCCCGAAACCCATGATCTGCTCTTCGAGATCAAAACCTCGGAATCTGCGCGCCGTGCATGAGGTTCCATTATAGAAAGGACTGTTCTTTGTTTCCTGATTTCTGTGCGGACAAAACATTAAAGTATTTAAAAACTAACCCCGTCCTAACAGCTGAGAATGTGTTAAAGAAAAACAGTTTTCCTTTTTTTTTTTTTAAAGGGTGACAGAGTGGCCTGGTTTAAGGCTGGTCTCTTCTGTGCTTGGGGGACGAAGGGGGGGGTGGTCCCCCGGGCTTGTAGGAGAGACAAGGGCGAGGGGTGTGCTGGGGGCTCCTCCAGAGTGCAGGTCGCTGAACCTGTCCTGATGGGGGGAAGGTATTTATTTAATGTCACGTATGAACTTTTGCTAAAAGTGACGTAACTGAAAAGCTTAGCACTAACTATGAATGTGGGGACCAGCTTGTCCCCAGTTGCGAACCACTCCCCAGCCCTGTGGAACTGTCGAGCAGGTGAGGCGGCTTTCCAGCCCCGCCCCCTCCCACCCCAGAGGCTCCGGACCTGGGGGGGGGGGGGCAGGTCTGGAACAGCCCGGCCTGGGGCTAGGGGCCCAGCTTCCCAGGCGCCCTGCGCTCCCGCTCTGAGTGGACAGAGGACAGTTGACCAGGAAAGAGAAGCAACCGGCTTCTTAATTGCAAAAGGCTAAAAGGCTTGACTCGCGTGGGTGTGAACCACCAGCGGGGGGCTCTCCCAGGAAGCGGCTTCGGGGGACTCTCAGCAAAGGGCCCGAACTCCCCCCAGGAATCACCCGCTGAAGCACCAACCACCACCGCAGAGCTCCTGTTAAAAACCAGGGACAAAGTCCGTGAAAAGATTCGGCGCCCCCAACCCCTGCTTACTTCCCCAGGTGCAGAGGAGACCAAATGCCCACCGCCTCCCACCCCAGCTGGCTTTAAAATGCGAATCTGTTCCCAGCATTTCCGGGGTACTTTCTCCAGCTCCAGGGATGTGGGGTACCCCAGGTTGGAGCACTCCACCCATCCCTGCATTCGGCCTACCCTGGGGTCCCTGCAGAAAGCCTTGGCCATGTGGCTCCCACCCAGCTAAAGATTCCCTCCGAGGTTCTGCTGGACCCTCCCACCCAGGGGAGGTCACAGCTCCTTGCTCTGCGGAGCTGCAGTCTGATGGCCGCGCAAGCGCCCAGCTCCTAGGCTGTGCTGCCTGCTGCAGCGCCCCCGCGACAGGAGCAGCGCCGGCCTCGCCTCCGTATTGAGCAAGTAAAGGAGCGAAGGGGTGTGGAGGGGCGCCCTGTGGATTAGGCCCTGCGCCCTGGGAGAGGACCCACGTCTGGTTCTCCTGACAGCCCACCTCCATCTGAGCCCACTTGACCGCTTCTCTCTGCCGTCCCCCACCCCAGCCCATCAGTGATGGGGTCCAGCTGTCCCCCTTATGACTCCCACAGAATTCTCTGCCTTTGCCTCCTGTCTGGTTGGGACAAGCTGAGTTGGGATGGACAGCAGGGACTTTCCACCAGCACCATCCTGCCCTCTCCCACAAA